GGAACTGCTAAGGCAGCTGCACCCTGGTACGACCATCACAAAGCAAGAGGCCCGAGAACTAGAAAGGCGAGGCTCACCACCCATTTATCCCTCCACCTTTCAATTAGCCCCACATGTGATTATCGGCCAGGTTGGCACAATTAACTAACTCACAACCCATCAGAATAATTGGTTTTTCTTAGAATAATAATTATAATATTGTATATAATAATGTTTTATATTATTGTTTTGTTTTTCTTATAATGATGATTGTTACTTTATTATGTGTAATAATAAAAGGGAAGGGGCACAGCCTTGGAAAGCCCCCGTTTCCCCGCCCATCACCTCTAACCCCTGATCTGAGTAGCTCTAAAAAGAGCAAACGTACGCGTACGTGGAGCTAAAACTGACCCCCTTGCTTTTGTGGCACTTAGGCTAGTTCCAAACAGTTGGGGGAAATGCACACATCTTACTCTCAGACGTTCAGAAGAGTACACCATTGCCTATATCCCATGCCACTGCAAAGCCCACCCAGGGAGATCAAGCAGGAAGCCACTTGACCAGCACCAAGCTTCTCAGATGCAGAGGTCTCTCCCTGCCCAGAGGAAGGAAGAGTGAACAATACTGAGGATGCATGGGAGCAATTCGTTCGATGGGCTCATGGATCACAGGCACATCAGTCTCTCTGAAGCTGAGACCAGAAGAACTAGATGGTGCCCCGCACTACCAATAGCAACCACTCCAAAAGGAACCACGTTAGAACGTCCAAAATAGAGTGGAAGGAAATCGTGGAGCAGAGCACAAAATGTGAAACAGACCAAGCTCAGAGGTTGGACAGACCCTAATGGACTCTCTAAGACCACAGCCCTTCTTGTGCTCCTTCAGGTCAGGATACGAGCTCACCTTGTGGCTCAAACGTCTGTCAAGTCACAGATCTATCAGGGGACAGTCACACCAGGGAACTGGAGATCATAGGGGTAGCCTTTGCCGGAGGACTGACCAGAAGGTTCAGGAGAGGAGGAGGAGAATGAAAGCCGGAAACAGAAAGGACGTGGTCTGAGTGATGTTACTTTACGGGAATTGCAAGAGGGTTGAACGACCATCCCCACAATCCGTTTTAGAACTTATTTTCAATCTTGTGCCCCTCATTAGCGCCTCCCTTTCCCCTAACCTCCCGTAGCAGACCCCCAAGGAACCATTACTCCAGTCACTGTCTCTATAGATTTACCTAGATGTAGCATACAGAAAACATTTAAAACAAGACAAAAACATAACTCCCACAATAACAAAAGTAAAACGATGAAAGTCTCCGTGGAAAAGAAAGCAGAAAACAATATTAAAAACTAGAGCCAACTTAAAATGGGTCAAGGGGGAGGTGCAAAGATGAGCACTAGAACTAAACACTCGATTTTTAAACTTTTGGAGATTTTGGCGCTGTTGTCAAAACTATGGGGCTTGTGCGTTCTCCGGTTCCGCACGGTGGGCCCCACTTGCAGAACAAACACAACCACTGGAACACCGATGTGGCACAATGGGGATACTGACCCCACAGGGCCACCGTCCTTGCGGTCTGTTCGTAGCCGCCCCCACCCTCCTCTCATCTTGCCCTCTGTCTGTCCCTGGGCCCAGGCAGCCACCTGGACTCCATTCCCAGAACTTTTGTCACTTTGTGAACGATATAGAAATAAAAGCAGACGGTGTGGAGAAGCTTGTGAGGACCGGGGTTTTCTCTTCACCCTAATTCCCTCTCAGCCCATCCAAGTTGTTACAGGGCCAACCATGTGTTCCTTGTATTGCTGAGTTGTAGCCCACAGTCTGGATGCATCACAGTTCGGTTAATCATTCACCACCTGAAGCACGTCTAGACTTGGGATCTTCTGAATAAAACTGCTCTGACCCCAACCCTATGGTGCAGGGTCCTAAGGGAACATACATTCCTACTTCTTGAGAGTGCAATTGCTGTCGCCTGTAACAGGGGCCCTGGTGGCGTAGTGGTTAAGCATTGGGCTGCAATTTTCAGAGGTTGGCAGTTCGAAACCGCAAGCTGCAGCACAGAAGACAGGGCTTTCTGCTTCTACAAAGAGTCTCAGAAACTCACAAGTGCAGTTCTACCCTGGCCTCCGGGGTTGCTGTGAATCCGCATGGACTCGATGGCAGTGAATCTGGTTTGGGTTTGGTTTCATAGTATCTTGTAGTACAGCAGTTCTCAACCTGTGGGTCGTGAGCCCTTTGGAGGTCGAACAGCCCTTTCACAGGGGTCGCTCGATTCATAACAGTAGCAAAATGACACTTAT